TGCCATCGAGCTAACTCTGTGTCAGCCCCGGTACAGCATTCGCGACTCGACAAATACGATTATCCGCCCACCCTGCTGATGCTTAAGCCAGGCTGAATTCAGTAGTGCTTGTGGATACACAAACTTGCCCCAGATATCGGGGTTCAACCTCTCGGCTTTCCTCTCCCTTTCCCTCTCTTTTCCCTCTCTCTCTCTCTCTCTCTCTCTCTCTCTCTCTCTCTCTCTCTCTCTCTCTCTTTCCCTTTCTCGAAGAGAGCTTCGTGGACGAGGCGATGGAAGAAAAGCAAGAAGAAGACGAACAAGAAGAAGAGGTGGCTTTTGTTCCCACCTCGAGCGAGCTCGACGCGGTCTGCCACTTTTTCACGTTTCCCCTCGCCCGCCTCGCCCTTTCTATGCCTTTCTCTTTGTTTCACCTTCTTCCCCGCCCTCATCTCTCCCTTTCACCACTTCCTCGTCTCTCACTAGGCATATCCTCTTCCACGGCTGATGCCCTTTGTCTCGAGGAAACGCGATTAGAAACCCTCGCAGTGCAATTTTGAAGCTGTTCCCGCTTCCGTCATAATCGCGCGTCTATTAGTCTCTTCAAGAGCAAGGGATGATCTTAACGAATTCTTTGCTGCTGTTTTCTTTATACTCTTTCCGGTTTTTTTGTCATAATCTTAAGGTTGGTTTTACTTGAAATGGAAAATATCTATATTATTTGATCTTGTTTCGTAATGATACTGCCAAACGATAATTTCGATAATGCCGAGATACATAGATATATATATCGATTTAGATATTACTATTTTTTAATTTCTGTTCATAAAAATCTCTAATAATTTCAGAAAAAGTTAAAACAAATAATAATATAATAAAATTGAAAGATAAATGTATCTTTTTTTAATAGCATACATTGGGCTCTCTCTATCTGTACGTGTGCGTATAATTAAAAAATTAAATATGCGACGCATTTAACGCGCTAGAGACAGACAGCTCATTCTCTTTAGAGTGGCGGGCTTTATTAGCTGTCGGAAACAATGAAAACGAAAAAGAGCCGGTAACCACGCGCAGAATCTACCGGGAGTGGGTCTCGATGGGACAACACAGGAAAGAGGATCCCATGGAAACGACAGTCGGAGACAAGGTCCGCGATGCTTTGTGGTCCATAAATAAGTTACTGGCCGATGGCAGCGACACGCAGGTAGGTACCAGTCACCGGCGCGAGCGTAATCGCGTTTGTATTTTGAGCGACAGCCAATATTTAACTCCGGCAATGGCAATCCACACGACGACAACGACGACGGCTAGGACGTGCCGAAGGGACTACCGGAGGGCTGGTAAGTCGCGTGTTCCTTGACGGTAGGCGAAGGTCGAGACTGAAGCTGCGCGAACGCGTGATCCCTCCGACCATTCGACGCACCGATAGAGAAGGCCTTACATGGCGCCTTCGACAAGATAACCGGAGAGACGGTTGGCGAGAGCCGCGATTCCTGGAAACCTGGTTGGGAAGAATCTGGACGACGATAAGTCACGAAAAGTGACGAGGCCATGCCTCGAGTGGCGCGGGCGTGCCAGACGTTCCAGATTCCAGAAACGTTACGCTCCCTCCATTGCATTCTTTCGTCGAGCATGCTTTTCATATATTCCCTCGAATCTAAAGGGAGTCTATCAGACGGAATCAGGAAGAACGACATGTCGCGTCCAGAGGGAAGGGACAAAAAGAGCTAATTATACTCGTTAGAAGATAATGACGGTGATTGTTAGTTTGAGATAATCGAAATATAAGCGGCGATAACAAGGATATACGATTACTTAACTTAATGATGATAATATCGTTATAATTGAAGAGTCGCGAGAGTGCACGGCATCAATAATTGTTATCATGATTTATAACTTTCTCCGTACGGCGGCTATACATCGCGGTTTCGACAAACTGAGCGAACGCTTCCACGGGAGCCGCAAGTCTTGGGTAACCGCTGAGAAAATTCAACCATAAGGATTAAGAAATCGATGATATTTACGCTGTCGTCCACGATTCCGCCATTCATACACAAGTATTCACTCGACTAAACGATTATCATCTTATCAATAAGTAGTCAGACTGTTTTTTCCATTTCGTAATTCGGAATAAAGAGAACATAGGTGAGCACACAGATGTGGAACCATCCATATGACAAATAAAATTTCTAAGAAAGAAAAACACACAAAGACGAGAAACAATTTTGGCTGTAAAAGAAAAAAAATGTACTACCATAAAACTGTCAAACGAATTGTTTAGAATGATTAGTGAGTAAAATAAATTACTTAAATAGGAACCAAATAAATTATCAATTATTGATTAATATTGGAAAAAAATATTCAAAACTTCTCCATTTCTATTGTGCGGGGATGTTAATTCCGAAAACGGACGACCGACAGTGAAGAATATTTTTCCAGAGTAGTAATTATGTCTCTCGCTAATCATAGATCCCGAAAATGGATTTCTGCGGCGACGCTAGATGATTCGTTTTGACGACGCGAAACAATGTCTGCTTCCTGGTGACTACGAAAGAACGGTAATCGCATTAGCGGTCGCGACCGGAGTGGCGCATCCGCAAAGCGTCTTTCGCCATTACCTCGACTTATACCGTAACAAATCCGTTCCGCGGGATCGGTTCTGTCACCAAATCACGCCGGTTTTGCTACGCTACTCCGAACCGAGGGCCGAACAACCGGCTAACAAACGCGCGCGGCCGCGCGCAATCGCCCCGAGATAATGCGCGGCGCCAAAAAAGCTTATTAATGTCCTGACTGGCAAAAATAGCGTTTTAACCGAATGATTCGCGACGGATCGCGTGTTCTCGAGAACACAAGTCAAGCTATATGGGAAGTTAATTACGATCGATATTTTTTGCTGCATTTCCTGAGTGGTAAGTATCGATTCATGTATCGATATCTCAACGTTAGCCGCGCATTAAGTGGGAAATTGAGATACTGATTGTGAGAATACGACGAGATATACCCAGCCCCCGAAGACTGAAATTCAGAAATCGATCGCTTGACAATTAGCGGCGACATTTTCGCCAGCTCGAGTCCCGAATGGGAAAAAAATCCGCGGGTTACCCCTTAATTAGAAGACACCGACGAATAACGCGAGGCGATTGGACGAGATAAAGCTGCAGGAAGTTGCGGGAGCTAAGTGGCCCCTATTCCGCTACCGACAGCTCCCAAGGGTTCCTAATTGTCAAGATCGAGCACCATAATTACACCCTCCGCGATTCGTTCTCGTGTCTCGGAACTCGTCTCCCCGTTAACGGAACTGGACGAATTCTCCGCTTGGCAAAACGATGCTAAGGAGCGGCACAGGTAGGCTAAATGTAGTTTGGAAATTAAGAAGTCTGGTCTGATAAGGAACGATAAAAAACCACTTTTCGCAAGGGAACCTATGACCCCACTCGCGTGTTTCTCCTCGTTATATTACAAATACGCAAAGAATCCATTAGGGACTAAACCAGCAAGATACTATCATTAACAATTTAATCGTAAAATGTCAAAGACTCTGAAAATGAAATCAAAATGAACAATTAAACTAATTGATAAAAATGATATTCAAAGTTATATAAAGATAATCGAAATAAAAATAAAAGAAATGCACAAAGCTGCAAGATCCTGCTTCTCGAAAAAAATAAATAAATAAATAGTATAATACCAAAATATAAAGTTCTAAAAAAATTAATAAAAAAGCAATATGCGACCATTAATCTTAATTTTGTATTGTTTATGCAATCACAACATCAAATTTACCGCGTTAATGATTTAAAATCAAAATATTTAAATTTCACAGCACTGGAATTTTGCGTGACTCGTCGGTAGCAGAGTCATGTTACGCAGTGCTCGAAATGAGTTTATTGACACATTAGAAAGATATCGCACGGTGGGCAAGTTCCAAGAAATTAAGAGCTTGACAAACAACGTACAAACAACGCACAAACACCACGAAACTTTTATATATATTGCCGTATTTTTTAACCGAATACCAGCCACTTTCAGGAAATTCACCGTGTTGATACCGTACGTCCTCCTTTATTTATTTCCTTTTATAAATAAAAATATAATCTTATAGAAATAAATATGATCAAGAAAATAAAATATAAATATATTTTTATTATATAAATATATGCGTCATTAGACTAATTGTCTCACCATGAGTAAAGTTGTGATGAGATTATCAAGAATTTTAGTTGTTTTCCTATTATATAATTCATGAGGTTCGCAAAACACGCATTCGCGCTTTCTTACTCAGGCTTGTATTTGTTTTTCGCCTGTCATTCGAGAAGTCGATGAAGTAATGGAGTACGAATTCCAAAGCTGCCGCGTGACGCCTACACGCGGCCGCATGTTTCATAACTTTCCTCAAATTGCAAGACGGCGATTTGCGTCTTGTTACACTATGGCTCGTTATGATTTCGATTAGCTACCGATACGATCGACGACGGCTATGTTTGAACAAATCGCATGTTTACGAAAAAAATCTCAATCGTATCGCGCGCATCGGAACACATTTCAAGTTCTCTCAAATGACATTTGAAACATTTTTAACGATAACGAGTGTAAACGTTGATATATAGTTAATTCGCTACGAAAATAGTTCTAATGGTTCGCTACGGAAACAATTGTGTTGTCACGATTCCCTTATTTATAAAAGTCGTTAAAAATTCATTAAAGTTTCGATCGATGAATGTCAGACGGAATGGTCGACGATGAAAAACTAATGATGATAAATTGAAATTAACCGCAGGCGTTCATGGTCAAATGACTTAAAGAGAACTTAAAGAGAAATCTAATTAAGTAGATCGGACAGATAATAATTTACGAGTTTTTTTCTTCGCGGAACGTATTTTTATTAAGAAATCATCCGTTGTGTAATTACGACGAGAGTTCGCTCATTGTCAGTCATTTTTCCCGTACGATCGCTCGAGTGTTCGACTCACCAGTATAACACCAGGCCGGCCAGACGACAGGGCTCTCGGTGTCCAGCTCCCTCATTCTCTCAGCGACCCGCGGACATCTCCACTCCGTTCTTCCCGACGTAGCGGTAAGAATGTCCAGTTTGGCTACTAGCGTCAACCTCCAACCGAGTGAAGAATCTCCGGTTCTGCCTGTCGAAAGTCGCAGGAGAACCTCCCCGTTCGACGATCTTCAGATACAACCACCTGTTGCTCCGCAACAGAGTTCTGCGTTTTAGATAGGCTCGTCGGGGATCTCGTTTCGTTGTTCGCTCGACCAGAGACAGACCTCTGCGAAAGAACGCAGATCGTCTTATTTGTATTCTACGCCGTACACGTGCAAGTGAAGAATTCCGAGAGACAGATAAGACCCTGGATGAGTCTTCACCGCGCTCCGGTTTTGTCGCTGATAAGGCACGGAGGACGCGTCATCGACTCGCCTGGCCCTCGTTTCACTTCCTTTCCGTCGCACTGCCGTCTTCCCTCGCACGTCGTGTCGTTTCTCGACGACAATAACGTGCTCCCCGCGAGCCGTTCGAGATTTCGCTGTCGTGTAACGGCGAGGGACACGCGTGTTACACGAAAAGGTGTCTGGCACTCGACTCGAATCGCGCACTAAATGTCACGGAAATGTCAATGAGGTGCCGTCGACGTTTGACACCTTCACCGAATGTCCCCTTCCTCAGCGCACCTTGCCACTCGTCGAATAATAGCTGTCTTCGGGCGGATCACCTCGGATCACAATCGAGTCTCGAACTATCACCAGACGACTCTTTCTCTTACCCTTTTCACTCGAGGCGCAATCATTAGGGCATTCACGTAAATACGAAAAATTATATTAGTATCGTACGATACCAGAGCTTTAGTCTACCAATTCGTTTTTAACGAACAAGCTCAATTACGACCGGCTCGTCCTTTATCATCGCGACAACACCAACGTAAGATTTTATTTCCTATAGATTGAGTTAAAACAGATTCACCAGATTTCTCGTTTTCGAGTATATTTCAACAGATCACTCGTTCGTCGCAAACCTCCGATTATCGATGTCTAGAGAACGCGCGTTCCTTCGGGAATATCACTCCCTTCACCTTCACGGTGACCGCGGGTTCACTTTCTTCACCCTACTGTAGACCGGCGATCGACCGGCCCCGGTAATTGCAGAGTGTACCCTCGACCCGGTCGATCCTTGCCTTCAGTCCGGGAGGATCGTTGACGTACCGCGGGATGACACGACACTACAACACGGCACTGCTGCGTGAGGTGATGTCGAAGAGGATAGACGGATAGACAGAAACAGTAGGGGGGAGGGGAAAAAGAAAGAGAGAGAGACGGAGATACACAGGTAGGGGGATAGATAGGGGGAAAAAAGACGGCGGAAGAGATAGCCAGCGGGGAAAGGAAGAGAAAAAGAGAGAGAAGAAAAAGAGAGGGAGAAAGAAAAGAAGAAAGGGAGAAAGAGAGGGAAGAACCTGACCACCGGACACACTCTGCCTTGGTAGGCACACACACAGGTAAGCGGAGTGGCACTTAGGTTGGTGCACCTGCCGCGAGAGTCCGCGTCGTAATGGGAGCGGGGCAACGGGCGGCAGGTAGGCAGGCCCACCGCTCGTCAACGGAGAAGGGGAGTCAGTCACATGGCGAGTGGCCCGTGAAGGAGGTGGTAGCCGGAGTAGATGGTGGTGGATGAACGAAAGTGGTGATGCTGGTGGCAGCGGCGGCGGCGGCGGCGACGGCGGCGGCGGCGGCGGCGGCGGCGGCGGTGGCGGCGGCGGCGGCGATGGCAGTAGTGGTGGTTGTGGTGGTGATTGTGGTGGTGGCGATGATGATAGTGGTGGTAGCGGGTCGTGGTGGAACGCAGGAGTAGGAATCAACGGAGTCCTCGGGAAGAGCCGACTTGGCCGCTACCGGTGTAACCTGTCGCGACGATGATCAGTGTCGGCGCGGTGATTTCGCTCGGGAAAAATTCGAGATGATTTTCTCGTATCAAAACGATGGCGATGAGATGAGTATGGAAACGAGAGGGGTAGAATAAGAATCTCAAAGGATTGTGAGATGCACAGCCCGATAATAATCGTCGAGGATAAAAGCGGGTACACGAAAGGACGTTTACGTTAGGGCAATAAATAAAATCTGCACTGAGAATTAAATATGAGATATCCAACATTAACTGCTTTATACAAGCCAAAGAGACATATAATATTTCCTCAGTAAAATTAGCGGTACGAAATAAATCAGATGGAAAATCGCGGCAAAATTAACGATTTATGAGAAATAAAGAATTATTGACGACTGAAAATGGAAACGACATCGGCGAATTACGCGATCTCATAAGAAACCGTAATAGCGATCAAAGAGACGGGAAAAGAAATCGACCATTATTTCCCATTGTTTACAGCGAGGAAACATTTAGCTAACATTATTATCGGGACAGCCGCCACCATCTTTCCCGCGTGCTTCGGCTACCGATTACGGTTAATCGGGATGCACTCTGCCTGGGTTCCATATTTGGATCCACTTACGAGATAGAACGGAAGAACAGCCATTGAATTCCAGGCGCTTCCCGAGATCGTTGGTGGAACTTGACGTTAGATTGTCCCACGAAGCTTCTTCCAAGCACGTCGTTCAACGTCTAGCTATCAATGCTATGTCTTCCTTCGCGTCTGTGATCGGTCGAGGCTCGTATAGCAGTCTAGGTGGACAGTACGTCACGGTGAAACAAGACGCGAACATCTCGTTTGCTTGTATCCCATAGTTCTTCGAGGGTTGCTCGTAAAACAATATCATCGGACTGGCTCTCGGGTAGCGCGATCTTGTTTTCGCGCAATTTTATCTGCCGTGTCTTTTCACGATTTTCATTAAACGTGTACTTCAAAGAGCGAGAATAACTTATTATACATTTATAAATGACAATATTTTCTGCATAAAAGTAAAGTGCCTAATCGTTTAAAAAGCATAGTTTAAATTGCGCTGAATCGCGCGAAATATATACGTTTTCCTATCTTATCAAAATTTTTTAAGCTTACGTCATAAGCAATATTATCAAAGTTATATCTAACTATGATAACTTTGATTATATTTTACGTTGGGTTTTCCCAACGTATAAGATATATCGCGAAATATCGCCATGTCGTCTGCGCTCCTCTTATTTTCTAGACGTAATATCTTGTAAAAATATTCATAAATTTCGCAGGATGCTAATAGTCAAATAAATAGCTCTAATAGAAGTTATCCCGTCGTTCTGATTGTTACTACTCAAAAGTCAGACTCTATTCATCCGTCTAAAGTTAACAATAATTACACAGCATGGCACCCCAGGGGAATCCTATATAACACCGTCGGAGCAACGAACGTATTATCCTGGAGATTATTCTGGAAGCGTCGCCTTAGGTGTCCGGACATGTTCGGAATCCTGTGCCGCAGTGGGATGCCTAACGTGCGGAGCCGAGATGAGAGCTTGTTACGTTAACCATCATATTGTTTCGCGAGGGCGAGACGCTGTGCTTCGGCCGCGCGGCGAGTGCGCGGCGGCGCAACGAGTAGTAGTTCGCCCCGACTTCGAGGTGTACCATCAAGGACGATATATCGCGTCCGATATATATCACTCGGGAGAGAAAGAGCCACTTCCACTTCCACACACGTCGGGTTTATTATATGTGCGTACACACATATCCGTACGTGCGCCGCCGCGCCGCCCGGAGGCTGCGCCCCGAGCTCCTCGTTTAGATATCCGCTCCGCGAGATTATTCGAGAACGAACGACGCGGAGCGAACGCGCTCGTCGAAACGTCCCGACGGACGGTGCATTATATTGGTATCCTATCTGGCGTCGATCGCCGGGCTTCCGCAGGTAGCGATTACCACCTCGGCCATTTTCCTTCCCGGAGAACTATCGGCGATTAAACGGTCCATCGACCTCCTCCGCACCTCGCCGCGCGCAGCGCAACGGGATGTATTAATCGTTCGGCTCGATCGATACGACTCGTCCTTGTATTGCCGGACCAGCGTCCATCAACCCACTCGTAGGAATTAATTAGTACGCTCTCGCGATACCGTCTAGCCGATTAAAAATCTCGCGATATGTAAAATGACATAGAGCAAGTAGCATAAAAGTGTTGTAAATGAGAACTTACTACACGTAAATATATTCTCAAGATAAATACCTGATCTTACATGAGCCATCGATAAGTGACTTCAACTACTTTAGAAATTGTAAAAATGTTAAAATGTTTGTAACATTTTTTATAATTTGTATTTTCATTATTAAAACATAGTAAAAAAATTTCTACACTTTTAAATTATAAATATAAAATATAATAATAAAAACAATAATTATCAGTACTGCATTTCCTCTTCCTTCCGCTCTTTTCTATGGTAAGAAATAGGATGTTACTTTTCATAGTCAAAACCGCCTCGTAAAACATCAACTAATTAATTTGAATACAGCGATATGCGTCATTCTTATGACTTGTCGGAACAAATTGATACTGTGAAAAAAGCGACCCACGCCTATTATTCAAATCCATTTTCCTCGATGAATGAACAACAGGAGCATCTCGTTTCGCTTCGCATAAATCCCGGAATATCGTATTCACGGCGCGGCGTGAATATCCGCGACGGAAAGCGTCTTTGCGTTTCTGAAGAGGTTTTCCCAATCGCAGACATGAACTAGCTAAACGCGGGTTCCATCTAGCCGTGGCTCATCCTCAGAGACGAAGTAACCGGTGGCGTTCATGAATACGTGTTCATTATTTATGAGCAACGCCTCTCGGCATCAACTGGACCGGCCTCTCTATCTACCGGTAGGCACCCGGGAGAGGAAGGCAACCGGATAACGTATTACGTCTTCATATTTTTTTCCCCTCGTGCACGCCCGGTAATTAAAGGTGCCCCGCCAAGGACCCCGATGATTTACCGGCGATGCTACGCCGACCTGATAAGATGGGACCGATTGATAACGAGACTCCTTTTGGTATATCGTAAGCCGGATCAGGTTATATAGTAGACTGTATCGTCTCTTTATAATATTTCTATAACTTCTCGTTGCTGGCTACCATCAAGTTGATTGCATGTCTCACGTGACATATATGTCACACAAAAATTTTACATTAACAACACAGTAAATTTTATATATTAAATTAAAAATTACATGACCTGATTCGTGAATAAATAAAATATTAAAAAATAAAATCAAATCAAATCTGTCGCAATATCAAGCTATAAATATCTTTGTTGCAATAAATACGCGTCAATCATATTTTACTACAATGGGTTACTAAAATGATTAATTTTGTATACGATCTGAAATGATTATTGACAGATGCTAATAGAACGGTTACGCCTAGTATCGATCGAAAAGCATCGTGATCCCGAGTCAAGCATCCACGGCATCGGCAGGCAGCGCCGAGGGATCTCGAAGGAAAAAAAAGCAACTCGCGGTATTCCCCTTTCTCATTACGGTATGCTGGATCAAAAGTGCTCATATTTCATAGACTTGTTCTGGCGTGCGGCACGAGAACCCCGATGGCCTCCGCTCGCGCGCGCGCGTGCACGGAGAAGTTGCGGTCCCGTTCAGTGGAGAAATTTACGTTCGTCAGCAAAACGAATACCGCGACGAACGGGGCGAACGACGATGACGATGGCGAACGAGGCGAACAGCATATCACCGGTGCCCGATGATGATTTCGACGATTTAATTGAAATGTCCGGCCGGCACTAAAATCTCCCCTTCTCCGGCTCCTCTCTCGCGCGCGCTGTCTACCGCGCCTCTCCTCTGCCACTCCTTTCCGCACTCTCCCGCGATGATCACCGCGATCTCTCTCGGGGAGCATCATGCATTAGTGTTTTTCAAACCGAGCCATAATGTTGCATCGCCGGCATCGGCGAACCTGCTGATGCTGATGAGTCGATGCGAAATCGACGACTAGAGAGAACGTACGTTGCGTGTGTGCATGCGCGTATGCGCGTGTGCGTTATCTTAGGGGAAGACATTTCCGAAAAACTATAAAGCCGAGGAGCGCTGTTTTAGTCAATGTATAGAATATGTAAATTACGGACGCGCGTTTCGAGGGAGTGCTCGTAAGTTTTACAGATTGGTCCAAATATCGCGTTCGAACGATTCGATATATTCCGCTATAAAATTAAACGTTTGACAAACAGTCGTAAAAAGAAACGGATTCGTCGCCTTGAAAATACCATCGAACATCGACAGATTCGGGAAACGTTTTGGATATCATTTTGGCAAAGCGATGCGCGTCGATGACCCCGACGAATTTTTCCTTAATCCTATATGGTTGAGAGAAATTTTATTAGCCGCTTGATTCATGGCGAGGCACAGCCGGCACGTAATTTGCCGTGTTGTATTTAATTTGTCTTAAAAGCGACCCACGGAACAAGGATGAGCGGTGAAGGGCGAGGGTGAGCCAACGGAGCAACATGCGCCTTCGCGAGAGACGTAAAAGCGAAAACGGATGGTTACTTTGTGGAATTTTTATTATGATGTATCATATATCACGAC